ACACTTAAGCACAACAAAGTCCTCTATCAACATCCCCGAAATTCATGAAATTGAGCTGCTGAAGCTGCCTCTTCCGCATCACTTCCTCAAGCACCTGGCCCAGTTGGTCCTGCGGTCTCATTATCATCTCTACTGCCAGTGCTACTCTCACAAAGATGAGCATGTGCTAAGTAGTCAGCCTGTCCTTTGTGACTGGAGTTTTGGAGGGAGACAAACCCTCCTTGGAGGGTAAAACAGTTGCGCCACTCTTGAAGTGGCATCTGCTGGCACAAGGCGATTGAATGACCGCAGCAGCCATGACTGCCAGCAACTTGTTTCACGCGGGTCCTGCGAATCCCCAGTCGCGATGAGATCTTGGCGGTGCCTAGTCCAAAGAAGTAACATTGTTGGTTTTGGGTTGCCGATCTACACTCCCCTTAGACCAGCCAAAGCAAAAGCTGCCTTGAAAGGCGACTACAGCCCCTGCACTCGAATGAAATCGTGTGCATGAGAAGCCGGATGCCTAGCAGCCATGGAATAATCAGTTTGGGCAGCGCAATCCTCCCACAAGCCAGGGCGCAGCAGGGGTGACAGCACTGAACGAATCCTTCTGTAACCTACCTGGACTTTCGTGAAGATTGGGATTCACTTTTTCATGTTGCCCAACAATATCATCCCCTTGGACCCCGGAGAATCTTAGTGAACACAGCCTTGCAACAGAGCAGGCACCTGTGGAGCAAGTTGACCATCTCAAGCATCTCCTCAGGATTTAGGATATAGGCTTCACAGAAGTGGTGCAGGGGCTTGGTTTCCGAGTTTGAGAGATGTTGAATGAAGGCGTTTTGCCGAAATCTTGCCAAGAGATGAAAGAAGCTGAACGTGATTGAGGGCGGCCGGCTTTAAAAAGGAATGTAGCAACAAAGAAGCCTCTCTTACTTAACAATCACTGAAACCCTACGAGAGCTGCAAACGCAATGAATTAGGTGCGCAGTGGGTTGACAATCTGGACTGCCTCTGTAGGAACTTCCAAGCTGGCCATGAGGGGATTCTGTGCTAGCAGAAAGGATATCGGATAGCAAGCAGCACGTTGTCGTCACTCAGGCTTCTCAGGCATGGTCTGACTCTAGGCGATATGTGACGTAAGTGCCCTTATGACAGCTACATCTGGCACACCGGAAACCTTTGTACCTCGCTCTTTTTACTGGCCGCCCGGACAGAACCGGGCTGTTGAGAGAGTATAACGAACTCAAGTCTCAGGTGGCCTGCAGATAGCTGAGCATGCGGCCGATGTGGACATACTGACGGTAGTCTTCTCCAGCGTGAAGTGGGACTCAGAGGCTGCAGCGATGCTGTGGAAAGACAACATGAAGAATGGGATTACGGGTCCTGGGGGGATTTTCAGTGCAGCTTGCCAAGTAGAGAAGGCTTTACTTTCTGCTACTTTTTTTAGACCATCCTGCCGCTGCGGAAGGCTCGGGATTGTGCTGCCATGCTGTGTGCATCCAGTGGGCTGCGTAGCATGGGCTGCGTAGCATGATTTCTTCATGTGAACCATTTGACCCACCTCAAGTTTTTGTATGGAGCATCCGATCTTTCACTCATGGGGTGCGCATGCACAGACACGGTACAGCATGATAGGCGAGACCCCTCCAAACCAACAACTGAGGACTCCGACTATGTAGAGGTCGCTAGACAACTCAGCAGCCAAATGCTCCACTGCCTGGGGCGGTCAACGGGTGGCACTTGTGCACCCCTGTGGCTCTTGCAATTGCAGCCAAATGCTGCTTGCTGAAGCAGCACCCTCGAACCCACGAACTCTGGACCCGCTCCGTCATAGAATGCCTTGAAACGCAGGAGCAGCCTCGATTCTTTTGCAACAAGTGAGCGTAGCCCGGTACCAGGGCTTGTGCCGATGGATTCTTGGCAAGACGGGATGAATAATTCCCATCCCCAACAAGCAGATCAGGGGTCAGCACAATGAAGGACAAGGCTTCTCATACGCATTTGGCGCTCTCCGATTGCGGGCGTGAGCATCGGGATATGAGCGCGATGGGCTGTACCAGTAGGTGATTCTCATATATACAGCAGAATCGACCAAGCCTTGCACTTGAGAGCGCCATCTGGGCATCTGAAACATTGGCCCTCCCCAACACGTCTTGCATCACATGTGGGACCAGCATGTTCATGTAGCTATTTGGATATGGAGCCTGTTGACATGGTTGTAAACGATCTTAGCCAGGATTTCAACGGCCACTACCGCTGCTTTGCACGTGGGCCAGTGACGAGCCGCTTGTAGCGCAGAAAAGGGAAGCCCACGATCTCCTGAGTCTGGAACTGATGGTTTATTACTTAAGCTTGAGGGCATTGAGGAGCATGCTTGATCGTTTCTGAGCATATAACGGATTACATGGCCCCTTGCAACTCTAACCGTGACCCTGGAATCTTGAGACTACAAGTGCTGTAGCCCGTTGCACGCCGCGCGTCTCCAAACAATCAAGTTCATTCGTTCAGCAGCTTGATTCCAGAGCCTGTAAACATCAGGTAGCATATTCACCTTAATTTTGCAGCCTCAAAAAGGCCATATGTTGGTGTCGGGTTAGCCCTGAAGCAGCTCTTGGAGTCCGGAACCCCATTTTGGAAAATGCCGGGTCAACCAATCTTCTGGATCACCCAGATAATGGGAATGTGGGGTGATATAGGGCTATATATGGACTGTACAGGCATAGGGGCAGTATAGAGGTGATATGAGGTGATATGCCGGAAACGGAGACCTGCAAGATGGGAGCGTATTGCTGACAAGGCTCAAACTCGAATTCCTTCCCTCCCAAGTCAAGATTGCCGCAGAGGAGCTGCGATCGCCTCAGGTCCTCTGTGAGCTTTGGGCTTAAAGACTTGGGGATTTCCCAAAATTAGGGGTACCTTTTGGGGGATCCCTATAATAAGGACTATAGTATTTTGGGGTTTATATTGGGGTCCCACTATTTAGGGAAACTACCACTTAAGAGATGTGAGGAAGCATGATTGCCTTTGCCATCACATTGTCTACCCCAAAGACGTGGTGGTCAAGAATTGGTTTCTAGCTGCACTCTCTACCAAGCAACCCTCTCGAGATACCTGACTCATGCGGAATCACAAGGAAGATTGAACACGCAAGGTTGAGGTGGTACCCCGCCCTCTTTCCTGCAGCCTCCGAGAACACCGCCGCCGGTCCTTCATGGAATGCACCATCAGAGTAACCAACATGAGATGACTGATCAGATCAGAGTCCAAGATGGACAACCTGCTGCTAGGCTAAGCCTCTCAGATCAGCTTCCACATGACATGCGTCCTCCATTTTCCGCCTTCGGTGCATCTCTGGCACATTTAAAGAAATCAATTACCCGTTTTGACTGGAATGGGCTCGGCGCCTACTGGTTGTCTGGCAGCTTCCAGCCCTCCAAACCCTAGGACCAAACTCTTCAAGCCAGGTCATGACAACCCAGAAAGCAGGAACGCTCAAACTGATGCACAGCAAGTGAAAGTCCGCGAAAAGCAATTGTTTTTGGAGCGAGCGATCCTGGATTTTGCATCTAGCCCTGCCCCTACCCAATGCGGATGCACGATGATGCACGCCTAGCTGAAGCTATGTTTTAAGGAAGGCTGCTACTGCCTGCAACCCATCCTGGATCCCCCCAGAACGCATCATTCATGAGCAGGCTCCTAGACATTGCTACTTACTGGTCATTGTCCTGCCCAGGCCTTCTTAGACACTGAAGCAATCAGAGGTGTTCGAGCAGGTGAAGTGGGCACGACCAGGCAGTCCAAAAGAGGACTGTGTGCTCATATCCTCCATCCTCCATATAACCCTACAGATAATCCCAGTTCCCATTTCATTGTCCATTTTATTTTCCAGTTTATGTTCCATTCTATTTTCCATTTTATTTTCCATTTGATTCTCCATTTCATTGTCCATCTCTATCATTTCCTGATCAAAGCAGACCCCAGCTCGCCCTCCCTCACCCGCACTGAGTGTATCCGCGATCCGAAGACGTGGCCTAGCTGTCCCCTGTAGGTCGCTCGCTCGCATCGGCTTGAGCTCTACGGCATTGTTTTCTAGAAAAAACCATCACCAAAATAAAGCAATCCGAACAGTTGACCACATTGCGGCTGTAAAAGCGGCTGCTATCATATATTATGCACAAATTCCCGGCATATCCCACGAACCTTACCTGCATTGAAAAGGCACACTTGCACGTGTCCTTGGCTAAGCCAAGCAGGCTGCAGCTATCGATGAAAACCTCCAGGGCTGGCAGGAATGCAAGGCCACTACAACGTGGTGTTTGCTCCGAGAAGGTAACGTGATGTCTGATGCATGATGTATCCATCGAGAATACTGGCCTTCGAGAAGATTTTGGCCATGTCTGGCTGTCCCAACACTGCAATGCCAATAACTCATGGCCAAGCTCGATTGGAGCATTGGCCAATCTTACAAGCAGGAGCAGCAAGAAGAACATGTTTATGGGCAGCTTTGACAGCGACCTTCGCCCGGCCAGCTTTTAGATTCTTTCTATAGTTTCCTGCATATCCACTCGCAACACTGAACTCCCAAGATCCTCCAAATAAGTCCCTGGCGAACCGCATCCAAAGGGTGCACCTTCGTCGGGTTGTACTGGTCCCAAGCATCCAGCTCCTTAGGACCCGCGCGGAGCGTGCAGATGTTTTGGTGCTATCCAGTGCCCAGGTGCAAAAAACGGATACGAACTGGCAATGCCAACAAGCATGAAAACGACAGAGAACAAAACACTTACCTCCTCTTACAGAACGGCCAGAATTATATGACATGGAAAAACGTCGTTATCATCATCATCACCATCATAGTCATCACCATCATCATCATCATCACCGCCATCCTTCTCCTCCTCATCATCCTCTTCCTGATCATCATCACCATCACCAGCGCATCATCATCATCATCATCATCATCATCATGTCCTCTTCTTGGTCATCCATTAGGACAACACTAGCAAGTTACTCAGAACTTGTCAGCGACTGGAACTCCAGAGGGCCGCAGCCTCATCAAGGTTGAGCTGAGCATCTGCAGCTGCGTAGTCCCATGGGAAGATATGATGGTAGTCGTGCCAGCCCTCCCCAAGCGCCAGCAGAGATACCAGCAGGCTAACCTTACAGCCCAAAGCCGACTTGCAACAAGAGTTCTAGTGTGCAGGGTTACGGTCCTCAACCAACGGCCCAGCTTAGTTGCCTTGCCTGGTTCCACACATGACCCCTCTTATGCCTCCTAGGACGGCATGCAGAAGCAGCAACCTTAGGTCCGATGCCCGAAGAATCCTGGTCGAACGCGTAGGCATTCCCTTCCTCGCCAGCAGCAGATCTAGTGGGAGCATGGGATGCTGAACCAGTGAGACACAACCAGGTTTGCGGTCATTCTGCGACGCCGCTCTCCAGTCCCAGCATGACAGAGGGAATTACTATCCGTTCGCCGCTCACCTACCTGGAGGATTTGTAACTCGATTGGGAGTGTTGATGGTAAGCAGAGGATGCCAGCATCCAGTCGCATTGAAGAGCCTGACAACACCAATCGCAACAAGGCATGCCTTACCTGGGTCAAATCTGACACAGGCTTTATTCTTTCGCAGCAGTACCGCAAGCACATCCGCTCCCCCAGAACTGCACACAATCCTCCTGGTCACCATGCGCCATGGAGTTCACAGCGAACGTGATGTGCTGCACAATCATCCAACGGAGGGCCCCTGCAAACAATCAGCCACAAACCAGCCGAAAAGGGGTAACCCTAAACTCTCTATAACCCCTGTATAAACCCGATGTAACGCCTATAGTATATAACCCCCTATATTCCCTTTAGAAGGTAGTTCAGACAAAGACTTCTGGTCAAGGCTGCAGCCTGCGACAAAAAAGCCGCCGCGCGGGTCTCCCCACAGTGCCGCCAATGCTGCCGGCACTCCATGGGACCAAAGTGGGTCCCACCAGATAGAACACCTTGACATGGCTTCAAATTCTAACTCATGCCGATTTCCAGCTTCAAAATATTTTGTTCTGGGAGTTCACAGATTCCGGAGAACAAGCCTTCCATGGAACATGTTCGCTTCAGATGACACGTGACATCACGTGACACGCGTAGACGTAGAAGTGACTACCACTGACGAACTACGTGTCCAATAAAAACCTAGTCTAGACTTCCAGTATTCCCCTTAACAACCCCTATAATAATCCCCTATACAATCCCCTAAACAATCCCTGTAGTAGTCCCCTATAGAATCCCTGATTATAACCCCCCTTTAAGGAGTTTAGACTGTAGCTCACATGTCCACATACAGCTCAGCAGCGAGTCGTGGAACTTGACGATGGGGCTAAGCCGGTCCACTACGCGCCGGTACCTTGGCATCCGGGTATCTTTCCACCCAAGGAATTACTTGCAGAATTTTAGAAAAATTGCAGTTTAAAAAGCTGGATTCCATATCAGCCCACAAAACCTCCTTACCTGACCATGTTTAGCTCGTACTGAAAACTTCTGCTCACTTCCTGTCTCTGGCGCTCCCTCGTGGCAAGCCGGAACTTCATTGCAGAGAAGAGCCAGCCCACATGAGCATACCTGCTTTCATGGAAACATCCAAGGCTCTAGAATCGCTAGGTGCGCCAGGTCCTTGTGTGTGCTCTAAGATCTTTTGATGTTGAGGCATGACCAAGAGTCAAATCCTCTCTTCAACGGGGCACCCCTTTGAGCATTTGGGACAGGGAAATTGGTTTTGGGCTGTTAAGTGTTCTCCCGGGATAGTCATGCAACCTACATTGGGCAGGTCTTTAGCCCGGCAACTGCCATGAAGCCGTAGGCATTGTCTCGAGTTTGGAAAAACAGGCCACTGGTATTTAACAATTGCATGAGGACTTATGTAGGACAACTTTTGCTCAATGTGATTGCGCCCTGCCGACAATTGGGCCGCTACATGCTCAGGCAAATGCTGGAATAATCAGGACATCGACGCCAAAATGTAGCTTTAGCAATACAAATTCCCATCCCCCCAGTGCGCCCCAAATCAATTGGGGCACCAGAAGCCAGCGTTGCGATCGTGTGGATCAAAGCGAGTGTCGCTGGCTGCGTGGTGCATAGCATGCCTCAGTTCAAGGGGCTGGGCCCCAGGGCCCTACCTCGCCGGTGCTTGCAACGAAGAAAATCTTAGGCTACTTACAACCTTACAACCAGGAAGCTTGGACGTCAGAAGTGTAATGAAAAGCTATGACGGCCTACCTGGGAACCCTTTAGTGGATGGAATATGGGGTATATGGGGATCCGACTATAACATACCCAAAGCCATATTCTATCCACTTAAGGGGTGACTATACCTGGGAACCCTACTAAAGATCCCAGCTGCGTCAGAGCCCAGCCTTCGATCGGGCCCTGGTCCGCCATGGAAAACATGACCATTAGCAGAGCCTGCGGGAGCCACAGGAGGGAACTAGGGGGGCTCCAAAAAGAGGACCCATGGGGACACATTTTGGGGTCTCCGTCTCGTTGTACAGTAAAGGTTCAAGAAACCGAGAAAGATCAGTTGAAAAGGGCGTACCTGATCTTAAACTTAGATCATGGGTCCCTCTTTGGCACGCGAATCTGGGACAGTCCGACTTGTGACAATCGTTCACATGATGCAGGTCCTCCATGGCGGAAGACGCCACATAGGAGTGATGAGTCCACCTCAGGTGGGAGCGTGGGGGCTGCTGCAAGGTTTGACATTCGGGACCCAACCTCTTAGACGTATCTCTAGGCCCGAAATCTTTTAGAACAACAGAAGAACAGCAGTCAAGTCTGTCAAGAGCAACCAGAACAGAGCTTGTTGATGATCCCTTTTGCATCTAGGCCCTAGGCTTGTTTACTCGCGAACATCCCAAAACTCTTGACTTTCCGCTGGGGACTGCTTGGGTCTGGCATACACCCCTATCAAGCCGCTCACAAAAAATGCTACGTATCCTCAAGTCGAACTGACCCCAAGAATCGGCTTGTAATCCCACCCATCCCTGAAGTACATCAGCTTACCCGATTCGGTTCATCTCCACGTCGACAAACCACGCTTCTGTCAAGCCACAGCCGGTGGGCGCCCGCAGTGACGCCCAGCCCGCTGAAGGGCCACAGGGCCACAGCAAGAAGGCCCGTGCGCCAGGGTACCTGTGTTGCGACGCATCATGGACGACGATGATGACGACGGAGGCTTCGGCGACTCGACGACACAGAAGACGTAGATTTTCATGGCAGCAAGAAGGATCCGCAAGCCAACAAATACAAAAACGCGCTCTTTGATCCTGGAAAATTCTCCAAACACGCGGACTGCTATGGGCTGGGGTGCTGAACTATGCCAATCAGCTGCAGCGCCGCCCCATGTGGGTTTGCAGGTTGAGGCTTTAGAGATCCTGTTTCTGCATGCATGTTTCTACGTATGACAGTAGATCCTGCAATGCTACTTATTGCGCGAAAAGCTGCAGTTGCTGTACAAGACCGGGATGCCTGTCCAGTGCAGCAGAGTCGAAGGCCGTAAATGGCCAGGAGATGCCGCAAAGGAAGTCCCAAGGCTTGAAGAAGAATGCCATTCCTTTGGTTTCAGAGCATTCCGAGAAGTTCCGTACAAGCTCAGGTTTGCTGGCTGGCATGACCTTGATGAACACTGCGCTCGGACATCCGTCGGCATTCTTAAGCTGCCTCTGGTCTTACAGGTTGAGGTTAATTAGAGCTTTAGAGATGAAGGTAGGGCTCGCGGAGAATAGACCTTAAACTTAAGCAAGGCTACGAATAGCAAAGCCGAAGGTGCGACCACATTTGCCAAACGTAGCTCATCATCCGCCTCACAGCGCCGGGCCCGTGCCTGGGCTCAATATTTGCGGGATGCTTTCACTGGCAGCTATGAGAAGCTCAGAGGCCGGTGTCTGAACAGCCCTACCCCAGATCTCCCTAGCCTGCTTTGAATGTGGGTTAGCATTCTAGGACTGTCATTCGGCAGAATTTCATTAGACAAGCGTCTTCTTCTTCTTCGGCCTCATGGCCGGGGGCCAGTCATGGCGCAGGGGCCGCGGCTGCGGCTCCATGGCAAGCGGATCCGACATGAGCCCAGCAATGCCCCTTTTTGCATGTTTGGTATGCTCATGACATGGGTCTGCCAAGTGCCCACTCTACCGAAGCAGAACCATGGTCTGGCCTGGAAAGAACCTGATGATCTGCAATATCCAGTTTCCTGATGAAGTCTTTGAAGCTGTCAATACAGCAGCCATGTCTTCCTCTGAGCTATACCTCTGCGTACTTACCTCATCGAAAGACGTTCCGAGATGGAAGCCGTGCGGCAACGAATGGCCTCTGGAAATACAACAGCATACCCTGCAAACAACGAACTCAAGCCATCTATGTGATACTTCTGGCCGTGACATGGAACAATCACTACCCAGGCAGTTCCACAAATAATTGCAGGACTCAGAGAAAGGACCCCACATACCATAATCCTCGTCACGGAGACCGCCACAGAGGGACCCAATTTTTGGAAACCCCAATCCCTACAAATCACTCCATAATCCAAGTTTCCCACGTCCTCTTCCATTTGAGTCTCCATCATTGGTGGTAACATCCCTAAACCCTAAGTAGCAGCTTCCATTTTCTCGTCCATCATGATTGCAGAACCCCATCTAGCCCCTAAACCTTAACCCCTAAACCCCTAAAGCCTATAAACCCTAAACCCAAAACCCTGAAACCCTAGCCCCAAAACCCTTTTGCATCTGGGCTCGCACCTAAAACACCTAAACCCTTCCAAGAAGTCATGCCCAGGCCTCATCCTGCCGGCCATGACCCGACCTTGACTCATAGGGCTCTATGGGTTTTCTTATAAGCCATAGCCTATAAACTCATTAAAGGGGGTTCTATAGGAAATTATATAGGGTTCAGGGAATAATTAGGGTTTGGGATTAGGGTTTGAGGGTTTACGGTTTAGGGATGAAAGGGCTCAGGCACGCGCATCGCCCTCAGCAGGCACGGTCCGTTGCGGGGGTCCCAGCAAACGCATCCAGCGGCAGGATGGTAATCGAAGCCCATGCACCCCATACCATCAAGCGTTTAGGGTTTGGGGTTTAGGGTCTAAACTCCTTCTAAGGGGGTTATATAGGGGATTGTATAGGGGACTACTGTAAGGGGTTATTAAGGGGGATATCAGGGGGTAAGTCTATGGCTTATATAGGGATTATGTAGGGTTTCATTGGGATTGTATAGGGGTCATTTAGGGGCAAAAGAGGCATTCAAAAGGGACTATATCGGGTAACATAGGTGTCATATGCAGTTATGTTAGGGTTCTAGAGGGATTGCGTAGGGATTCTAACGGTGCATATGCATATGTATACATATGTGTGTGTGTGTCCCAGTGTATCTTCAATTCATTCCAGTGACTTGCGCTGCAAAAAAAAGCCTGACAGACAGGAGTCAACATACTGACTGTAATGATTCTATCCCCTCATTCATGAGTTTAGCTGGCCTGACTACAACCCACCTCCAACCAATTTCAAGTATGCCCGAGAACTGAAGCCCACTACTCCCCATCACAAGCATTATGAATCCTGTCATAGCCTTGGAAAAAACCCTGTATTCCTAGGCCACCGGCTTGAACTCGTCCAATAGGCTCCTTCAAGTCAACAAACCGTCGCGGAACAGTTGCGGGAGCTGTCAGAGGGATCTTCCTTTTTACTAGTCCTGGGGAAGCTTAGGCCCTGCCAGATGCCTTGCACTCTTTGGGGTTGGCAGAAAGGATGGCCCCACTGTCACAAGAGTGTCTGAGGCCCGAACTTTGACATGTGCGTCATGAGCCTTGTGGATCCAGGCGCATGGGGGATTGGTGCCGGTGCTTAAACTGCTCGGGCTAAAGCAAAACAAATTGTGACAGGGCTAATTCCAGATGAGTTCATGCTTAGCAAGAGGCGCAGGGGACAGAGGAAGGTCACAAATCAGCCCCTGCTTGCTCAAAAGCAGGGTTCGTGCCGATTACAAGTAATAACAGCCATGATAGCAATACTCGTAGCAATAGTAATCAATAAAGTGGTACGCAATAAGAGCAACAACCAACCAAGAAGAAGCTGGACAACGCAACTGGGCAGACACAGACCTCTTACTGGTGGAAGCCTACAAAACGGTATCTCCTACTGAGACATATGCAAGTTTCTCAAGAAGGTGGGCCTTAGAACCCCTAAACATCAATTTTGATCCGGACCCTGGAAGAAAATTAGACCGATTTTGGGGCACCGGTGGGAAAGTGGGGGCTTGCAAATAAATGGCGAGGGGGTCGGGGTGGCCAAAGTAAACCCCAGCATACCACAATCCTTGCCATGGAGGCTCCAGAATTGGACCCCTAACCTTTTGAAACCCTGATCGACCCATATAAGCCACTGCGAAACGCCAGTTTCCATGTCGTTTTCCATTTTGTTTAACGGCTGCTTTTCCATTCTTTGGGGAGGGAGATTATATACCAGATTTGTTGGAAACCTTAATCCGTATATACATGACTACATAGTTCTACAGCAAAATTTATGTAAACAACCCCTGTACTCCCATATCCCTTAGGTTCCCCCTTAGGTTCCCCTTTAAAGGGAGGTTGGGTTGACGTTGAGCGAGGCAGCGCTTAGTCGAGCAGCCTGCAAATGGAGAGCCTCTTCGAAAGTTGGGTGGGTTTAAGGTTTAGGGGGGCTTCCCAAAATTAAAACCTGAACCCTTTATGGTAGACCCCAAAGCGGACAAAACAAAATGGACAAATGCTATGAAAACTGGGGCTGTATAGTGGATTGCAGGGTTTAGGGTTTCCAACTACCTAATGGGGGGGTTAATAAGGGATATAATATTTTGGCGTTCATTTCGGAGCCACCCTTGATGGAAACTACCAGATCTAGCATGGTTGATATCCAATGTGAAGTACTTAAGCCAAGACAGACTGTAGTTGAAGGTTCTAGAAAAAAGGCAAATACCAGACTCTCAACAGAGGTTAAACACCCCCAACGTAACAATTCAAGGCCAACAGTCAACTACTGCCTATACCTCCAAGGCTCCGACACTTGATTGTTTAAACTTTCGCGAAACTGTTTAAAGCATAAGCAGCTCTATAAGGCTTGCTTCTAAGGCTTTGGGATCTGGATTCGGAAAACAGGTGCAGGGAAACCTCCAAACCCGCAGACCACAACCCTTGCTTTCTGTATGAAACTGGAGCCGCAGACAATGACCAAGATGATGAGGCATGCCAAAGTGGTGGCATCAAGATCAACCCTAAGAATGTAGTTACGTGTGCGGGTCAAAAAGGTTCATGCTGCCAAGGAAGATAGTTGTAGGCTGAGGTTCCGACATCTTGTGCAATGCTTGACAGGTGGTTTCCTGAACTTCCACAACGCAGCATGAAGGACCGCGGATGGATGCGCTCCAAACGAGGACACCCTGAGCCTTGCCATGTGAACACAAATTAGTCTGAATGGAAGGCGTACTTCGGATGAGGTGAGATGAGATGAGACGTTTAGTTGCCCAGGTCCTTGATGTCTTCACAGACCTTGAGGGACCTTGCGACAAACTGCGCATGGCAAGAAACATGTTTGCGTGTTGCTGGCACTGTCCCAACCTTCAGGTGCATCTGGGCTGATGATGCGCAATTGGGCGGCGCTTGCAAAATTACACCGCAACGCTGAGAGGGCAGACTCTGGCTCCTCCTTCAGCAGCTCGTCTCCCTTGCCCTTCGTAAACTGGTGGCGGAACATCCCGCGGTGCACCTGAGACAGGCAGTTTTTTGAGCAATGATGACAGGCCTACCTAGTTAATGCGTTTGCCGCACAGACGTTTGCACTGCAGGCTTTATCACGGAACAAGCGCGCGGCGCAGCGCTTGAAGATCTTTGCCAGAGCCTGCACAGCATCTGGTTCGGTATCCAGTCAGGTTACTATAATATAACCCAGAATAATCCCAGTTTCCATTTCATTTTCCATGTTCTTTTCCATTTGATTTTCCATTATCCCTATTATCCCAGTTTCCATTTCATTTTCCTTTTGATTTTCCATAATCCCTATTATAATACAGACCCAATATAGTAGTTTCCATGCTTCTCCTCCGAAGGCCTGGATGTTGAAGAGCACACGATCCAGGAGCTGCTCTGCCTGAGGCAGGAGGGCCGCGGACGGCACCAGTTTAGGGTTCGTGGTTGCCCATCACGTCAAGAAACTCACCCAAGAAAGTCAAGCAAGAAAACGCCATCATTACATCACACTGCCCCACTCTGCAATGAACAACATGAGAAGGGAGCGTGGACGATGCCTGCTAAAATGAGCGCGTGAGGATTCTCTTGCCCCGGAATTGCAACCCAAGGGCCACGTCCATTGGGTCCACATCGAGCTCTCCCTTGGGCCTTCCCTTGCGCCTTGTCAGAATGAAGAGGCTCCAGCCGGCTTACATGTCGTGCAATTTCAGCTGCGCTGCTAGCAGAAAACCACTGCAATGCCCAATGCTGGAGGCCTGCTATTCACCTTCTCGAAGACCTGCTTGCGAATGCTCAGCTCGACCAAGCCTGGGTTCATTCTGCTGACTGCCAACTCTTTTGCCTTCTTGGATGGAATGGAAGGAGTAGGAGACAGGGAGAGAGATAGCTAGCTGAGCGTTCCGACAGCTACCGCTACACAGCACCCCCAACTTGTTACGCTGTGTCCCAACTCAGACTCATGGGCCAATCATCCTCCTCAGCGAGCTTGAGATCATGACGCATAATTGCTGGCAACCTAATTTTATGGTAGTCCAGAAAAAACACAATTTCTTGGACACGTCTCGTTTTCAGAAAGGGTCCCCGTTGTTTGCCAACTTTGCCCTCAAAGAATGCAAAGGCATGGCTGAAGGGGGAATGCTTTTGTCTCAAGGCTTTTTGGACATGATGGCTTGCGGCTTGGAAATCTTGGGGACTGGGCTCAAAGGGGGGAAAACCTACTCCCGTGCAGCAAGCAAAGCAGCGTGCTCGACCACAACTTGATTTGCGATCGTCGCTTAATGCTGCAGGGTACTTCTGAAAGTTATTTGCTTTCCGAGCCTGCAGAAAGTCTTT